ATGTCATGGATTTTTCTTGTAACACACAGGAAGGAAGGATTAACATTACAGACAGTAAAACTCAAATAGAAATAAACAAATAACAAGATTCCACTGAAATAATTGAATACTATTGAAATCAATTGAGGTTCACCATAGTTCTGTTTATTTCAGTGGAACTTCTGTAAGCCTAATCTTTACTACAGAACATGCCTTGTATATATACATTAAACAAATAGGGAAGACTGGATAAATGCACTTACACACATGCATTGAGTCAGACAGAAAATATGTACATTCAGGAGATATTCACCTGATAATAGCACTTGGTAGCTGCTACTCAATTATCTCCATCATGTTCTGTAGCACACCTGTTACCATAGAAACAGACGGCAGGAGTAGAAAAGGGCCAGACTAAGAATAAAGACACAAGGTCTTGAAATTCTTGGGGAGTTTGAGAACATGAATTTTTCCCCCCATAAAATATTAGTGTTTGAAATAATTAAAAACATTAGTAAAGCATTTTAAAAGGCCTGGCTTTAATACACACACACACACACACACACACACACACACATATGCTGACTTTAATTATATTCAAAGTACAATGGAGTTTTTCATTCACCTTCCCTTAAGACTTAAGTCTCTTGTGCTTGTCAAAAATTGTATACAGAAAGCACAGAAGTGGTATTCCAAGTAGCACAAAATGCTCTTCCAATTTAGGGACAATTTTAAATACTGGACTAAAATAAAATGTTGAACAATATCACCCCGGTGGCGCAGTGGGTTAAACCCTTATGCCGGCAGGATTGATGACCAACAGGTCAGAGGTTTGAATCTGGGGAAAGCGCAGATGAGCTCTCTCTGTTAGCTCCAGCTCCTCATGCAGGGATATAAGAGAAGCCTCCCACCAGGATAAAACATCAAAACATCCGGGCATCCCATGGGCAACATCCTTGCAGATGGCCAATTCTCTCACATTCATAATGATAAAGCTACCAAAGCATGAAAAAGAAGACTTATGAGTGGATCAAATTTGTGGTCCATTCTTGCACCCAGTGGTGAGTAAAGCGACTTGTCACATTGATTTCCACAGTTTTTGAAAATTCTCCATCAAAAAACACCGTGACATGTAGAGGCTATTCACATTATGCAATTACAAGGCTGTAGTCCACTCTAACTGATATGGCAGCACCCTGCGGTTTCCTGGCATCTGTAGTTTGGTGAGGCACCAGAGGAGCTCGCCAGCTGTTATTTCTAACACCCTCTCAATGAACCATAAGTCTCGTTTCCATAGGATGTTGTCATGGCAGTTTAAGTGAAGTATAGTGCTATAACTGTGTAGCCTAATCCTTAAATTAACTGATTTCCATAGAGCCATTCCCAAAGGCAAAGATACCAGGATTAATATAAATTGGGGGTTATATGGAAGGGATTAGATCTGAGGAGGGTTAAAGCAAGACAACAAGGAAGGAAATGTGAAAGGTCTTTTACCATAAATCGCCCCCCTCTCCCATGCCATTGCAGCTCTTGCACAATAAAATGAACTTTTAATGTGTAAAAGAACATTTGAAGGAAAAGCATCAGGTTTTTTATATCAATGCTACTCAAAGTGATGGTTCCTGAACCACTGCCTGTCCATGTTGAATGTCCAGAAAAGAAAAGAAAAGAAAAAAAAGAAAAGAAAAACAACTGTAGCACAATGGGCACCAATATTTTTTTCCATTGCACACTGGAAAAAAATAATTCTGATTTTCTCACATCAGATAGTCTGGGAAACAGTGTTAGACACTATGATCTATGGCTCAACCGCACTGCCCACCCCCTACTATGTAAGCCACTATGTAATTTTAAATGATTTTGTGAAACTGCTGAAACCGTACCCCTGCAAGAAACACAGTGTTTTTTAAAAAAATCTCCAGGATGAAATCCCTTGATTAAACTGATCCAGCCTTATCTATACAATTTAAAGGCTGTTTATATATATAAACCAGAGTAAGGCCCCCTACTTTGTCAAAACGAAGCAACAGAGCGGGTAGTGAAGCTCATCTGCTAATCTGTCTTATCTTAACACACTTAGCCAATAAATTTCTGATCCTGGATATAAGCCAATATTTCTCATGGATAATTTCAGAATGAAGTGTGAGTTTTAAAAGGATTGTATAATTTTTAAAAACTGAACTTTAAAAAAAATCATTTTACACATCTGATTTGTCTCAAACTTCTTACAGAGGAAAAAAAACTATAACCAAATAATAACCACTATATGGTTCAGATATGTGGATGACACTTTCACCATTTGGAGCCATGGAGAAGAAGAACTCAACAGGTTCCTGGACCATCTTAACAGCATCCACCCTAACATCCAGTTCACTATGGAAAAAGAAAAGGAAGGAAGACTGCCTTTTCTAGATGTCCTAGTCATCCGCAAACCAGATCAACAATTGGGTCACACCGTTTACAGAAAACCCACACACACAGATAGATATGCGGTGCGGGTTGTAGGTCTGCGTATGTTGTGATCGGGAAACCCCACACAAGTGAAGGGTGAGGCACCGTCGCCTATTCATCCGCAAACCAGATCAACAATTGGGTCACACCATCTACAGAAAACCCACACACACAGATAAATATCTACATAAAAACTCCAACCATCACCCAAGTCAAAAAAGAAGCACCATTAAAGCCTTGGCAGACCGTGCAAAAAGAATCTGCGAACCCCACCTCCTCCAAGATGAACTGAACCACCTCAACTGGGCTCTACAGGCCAATGGATACTCCACCTCAGACATCAGAAGAGCTGCAAGACCAAGAACAAGCCACCAGAGTCAAGATGAAGATCCACCCAGAGGAAAAGTGTTCCTGCCATACATCAAGGGAACCACTGACCGCATAGGGAAGCTGATGAGGAAACACAACATACAAACTATCTACAGACCCACCAAGAAAATCCAACAAATGCTACGTTCAGCAAAGGACAAGCGGGATCCTCTCACTTCTGCAGGAGTCTACCGTATACCATGCAGCTGTGGACAAGTCTACATAGGGACCACCAAACGCAGCATTGCCCAAACACGAATCAAGGAACATGAAAGGCACTGCAGACTACTTCAACCAGAGAAGTCAGCCATAGCAGAGCACCTGATGAACCAACCTGGACACAGCATATTATTTGAGAACACAGAAATGCTGGACCACTCTAACAACACCATGTCAGACTACACAGAGAAGCCATTGAAATCCACAAACATGTGGACAATTTCAACAGAAAGGAAGAAACCATGAAAATGAACAAAATCTGGCTACCAGTATTAAAAAATTCTAAAATTAAAACAGCAGAGAGAAAAACAGGCAGGGACATCTAATCACCTTTCAAGAAGAGTTTGCTCCAGGCACATGTCAGCCCATTGTATGCTAATCAAGGTGGTCAGTTGAAAGATTCACACCTAGCCCACTTACAAAAGCCCTTTGTCTCACCCTGGTCATTCCACAGATATATAAACCCCTTTTTTCCCAGCTCCAGCAGACCTCACCTCTGAGGATGCTTGCCATAGATGCAGGCGAAACGTCAGGAGAAATGCCTCTAGAACATGGCCATATAGCCCGAAAAAACCCACAAGAACTGAGTATAACCAAATGAATATTAATAATAACAGTTTCTATTATAATTCCTTTCCCCAAACACATTCCTTAACCGCTGATTAAAATATTGGAAACAAATACAAATTCACTTCATCTTAACACTGGACAGTGATGGATTCTGTTAATGCTGCTCAACCAGTCCCTTTCTTGAAGAAGTATGGACCTGTGAAACTTTCCTGACAATAAAGATAAACAGCAGGAAATGAGATTGCTACAGGGTGAGCTAATAATCCCATGTAGTAGCTGAGCAGAAAATGCTTGTTTTAAAGAAACTGGCAGACTGCCCGGCTGTCTGTCTGCATCTTCCGTTTCTTTTGAGGGACACAGCATATTGATATCTTTGAATTGCCTTAGGAAAGAAAAGCATCTCTGAGAGGAAATATAGTGGAAAAATAATGATCCATTCTGGACATAGGAAAGCAATCACAGCCAAATTCCTACTTAGTGTACACATCCGTGAAACTTTGATACTATAAAGAACAATTGTAGTAGCAAACAAATTTTGATACTATATATATATTTAACACCACAAACTATAATGCAAAAATAAAAAAAGCGTGACAAGTCTTATAGGAATTTTATTTGACTTAGATTTAAATGAAGTAATTTCCACTTTATACCACAAACAAACAAAAAACCAAAAACCAAAACAAACAAACAAACAAACAAACAAAAAAACTCGTTTTGGCTACATTTAAAATGAAATTACAAAAACAAAATATATTATAATTATGATCATCATTTTATCTGAACACACCTTAAGATATAATACTTGTTTTCTGAAATGATAAATATCCCCAGTAATGTTTTAATGTTAAACAACCATCTGAATCATTAAGTTTATTAGAAAAAATCCTTTTAACTTTGATAATCTGTTATAAATTTAGAGTAAAAATAGTCCCCGAAGGGGTGAGAAGGATGGGGTATAAACATAGGAATTTGCTTTGTTTGGATTAAAGTAAGATTCCAGAGGAAAACCTTTGTATTGTTCTCTGGGTTGATTCACACATGCAGAAATGCAGTAAAATAATTAAGTAACATTTGCTATAAAAGAGATTTCAACAAATGAAAAACCACATTTTTCACCATGCTGTTAATTAATTATAAAGATTATCCAGATGTCACAGTAACTTTTGAAAGTGGCATTTCTTAAATTTATTAGTATAAGCATAATTATGCATTTGGGCATGTAGTACTGGTAATGGTAGCACTAGTTGTAGAAGGAGGGAGGGAAGGCAGGATGAATGGAAGGAAGGGGCTTTTAAAGTGTAGAAGCAAAATATCTTCTAGAAATATTTACTAAAATATACATTAAAACATATGCAAAATACAGAATGATCCACTAAATTGCCTAGCAAGATCAAAAATAAATACTATACCTTAATTTCGTCTATTTCATCTGGCACTATCTTGTATGCAGAAACAGTCCCACCTAACCTAAAATATGAAAAAGAAAAAATATTTTCAAATCCAATTAACACAGAGACTGGAATAAATGCTCACATTATAAATTCATCTATATAGCTAATGTCTAGAAAAATCTGAAATAATTCACACTGACATCTTTAGCTAAATAGTCATTCTTTCAGAGGTCACCTGAGCATTTGCATGTTGTTATTATTATTATTATTATTATTATTATTATTATTATTAAACTTTATTTGTACCCCACTAGCATCTCCCGAAGGACTCGATGCGGCTTACAAAGGCCAAGGCCTCAATACACAACACAACAATACACTCAAAGCAAATTAAAAAAAAATAAAGCAGTATTAAAACAACAAAACCACAGCAATAAACAATACATCAACAAGATAAAACTGGGCCAGGCCAGAGTAAAGGGTACAGGATTAAAAAGTGCTGATGTGACAGGTGATATTATAGGGCAAGTGCAGTGTGCAGAGTGTGGCAGTCTTAAATTCTAATAAAGTGCTTCTGGGATTTGGTATTGGAGATTTCCTAGTCGGGGAAGGCACATCGGAACAGCCAGGTATTCAAATTCTTTCTGAAGACTGCCAATGTAGGGGCCTGTCTAAGATCTTTGGGGAGAGTGTTCCAGAGACGGGGGGCCACCACGGAAAAGGCTCTGTCTCGTGTCCCCACCAAACATGCTTGCGACGCAGGCGGGACCACGAGAAGGGCCTCTCCAGATGTTAGGGTATTGTGGCAGGACAGAGGCCTGTTTTGGCAGAAATCCACTGAATCTCCTCAGGCAAGCTACTATTCATTTCCATGAACTGACATGGGATTCTCATACAGAACACAGATGTGCCAGAGATAACTAAGCTTTTCATCTCTGTGGTCTTTGTACATCTCATATATGGGTGATGGGATTAGCAATGAAAGTACATCAAAGAATGGCCGTGGACCACATTATGTTGCTCAATTAATTATTAGCAATGGAATGAGTTGGTAATGTTACTAAACATTAACTATTAGAACCAGGAGGTCAGAAGAGAAAAGGCAAAATTCTGGAGAAAGACTACAGCCCTAGGGGTGTGACATTGAGATTGAAAAAGCAATGCAAGTTATTCAGTTAAGAGGGAGAGATTTTGGATATCCTGGAGAAGAAGCAGGTTTCCTTATCCTCAGACTAAAATGCATCAAGAGACCCCGAATGTTGTAAAAACAGTGTTTCAAGGCTGTAGAAAAACAGTTCATACCAATATCTTAGAAAAGATGAAAGCTGGAGTGGTCGCCTTGGACAAAAAAAAAAGTTATGTTCAGTCTGAGGACAATGCTATCTGTATGCCAATTAAGTTGGTTGAGATGCTGTTATAATAGATACGAGAAAAGACAATTTCAAGGAAACACATTCCACAAGGGAAGTTGCTTAATGATTGAAATGGTTTCTTAGCTTATTGAAATAGTAACATAAAGCCAGCATGAACAAGAGTCAACACAAAATCACTCTTTCAGAAAAGGGAGAATCTTGTCACATTTGTCAGTAAGTGGAATTGTACCTTTATACATCACAATGCTTGGAAAGGGCTTTGGAAGCCATAGGCCCCTAGGGCCAATGGACAGAACACAATGAAAAACCAAATAAAAAAAAGGAAAAAGGATAAAGAAAATCACAGGATATGAGGGACAATAGAAATAAAATAGCAGAAAAAGTCAAATATGTTCTAAAATCAGAATCACTTTCAAAAAAGACAAAGAAATTCCTACATGTGATTTTTATTTGTTGTGTCAGAACAACCAGTCTAACAGAACAAAGCAAACAAACAGAAAAATACACAACTTGTGAGTTTGGTAGCTGGTTAAATGTCCTTTGACCAGTATCTGGCCACTTGGAGTGCTTCCGGTGTTGCTGCAAGAAGGTCCTCCATTGTGCATGTCGCAGGGCTCAGGTTGCATTGCAGCAGGTGGTCGGTGGTTTGTTCTTCTCCACACTCGCATGTCGAGGATTCTACTTTGTAGCCCCATTTCTGAAGGTTGGCTCTGCATCTCATGGTGCCAGAGCGCAGTCTGTTCAATGCCTTCCAAGTCGCCCAGTCTTCTGTGTGCCCAGGAGGGAGTCTCTCATTTGGTATCAGCCATTGGTTGAGGTGCTGGGTTTGAGCCTGCCACTTTTGGACTCTCGCTTGCTGAGGTGTTCCAGCGAGTGTCTCTGTAGATCTTAGAAAACTATGTCTAGATTTAAGTCGTTGGCGTGCTGGCTGATACCCAAACAGGGGATGAGCTGGAGATGTCTCAGTCTTGGTCCTTTCACTATTGGCTGCTACTTCCCGGCGGATGCCTGGTGGTGCAATACCGGCTAAGCAGTGTAATTTCTCCAGTGGTGTAGGGCGCAGACACCCCGTGATAATGCGGCATGTGATAGTACTGTGCATAAGGTTCCGAACAGCAGCTTTGTGTATTACCCTACATAATGGACGGTTTCACATATCCTCTTGAAGTAACTACTACTACATTAAGTTTAAAACATTTAATTTCCCCAAAATACCCTGCATATTACCTACCCACTTTCCAATCTCTAAACATAGAGATCAAATATTAAAAATAATGTTACATGTTGAAATATCCAGTATGTCGTATACCATCTTGACAAGTATCCAATGCTCAGAAGAGTTAGTACTCTTAGTACACAGCAATTCCTTGAGCCTCTTTTCCAGCCCAGAGTAAAGTGGCCAGAAGCCTTTTTCATAAACATGTAATCAGCCAGTGATCAATGCCCCAAGCACCACCCAACACAGAACTACTGAGGACACCACAATCAATGTACCAAAAGCCCCTTCCATCTATGAGTATTCTTCTATATACACACAGTGACAGCATCATGTCCATCTTGCCTAAACAGAGAAATAAGTGTTAGGACATAAGATGAACCACCACCTTATGTAATACTTGGATATAATAATTAAAAGAGATACCATGGAAGTAAGAAAAATTATTATTATAAATCCATTGGTGCTGACAGAGAAATGAGACAATTGGAGGAAAGGGGATGATCAATTTTCTTTGGTTACGAGGAATCATCTCAATTCTATGGATTCAACAGAGCATCCATGTCTCAGAGTGAACACAATCCATAGGTCTATTGCAAGACAGGTCAGTTATTAAACCACAGAAACATTAGTACCAATATACTGCTTTTAGTGGTAGCCAATCTGAATGTCTTTTTAGATAAAGCGAGATAGAAAGAAGCAGCAGAAGCAGCAGCAGCATTATTCCCACCAGTCCCTTCTAATTTCTCTGTATGCCTTTCATACCCCTCAACATTTGGATGAGTCCAACAGGAACAAGAGTTGGGAGAAACTGTAAATGAGAGTTAGATAGAGTCAGACATGCTGCTGTGGGTGAAAAATTACCATGATACCACAATAATTTTCAGGTAGAGCTGGGGGACAAAGGTCATCATGACATAACACAAAGGGCAACTACACTGAAAATCTAATATAAAATAGAACACAGCTTGCAAAAGACCTAGTTAGGGTCACTAAAGAATCTGGGACACAAATATGTTAGATTCTCAGTTTTTAGTATCTTATATTCCACTAATCTCTTCTAACATCCTGGGCGTTTTATGATTTCTCCAATGACCTGACTGGGCGGGGGCAAAATAAAAAGCAGTTATGAAACACTGAGTTGACGCTGGGCATGATGGTGGAATCCAACTGCAGTTCAAAAGAATCTGCAGAGGAACTATATAGCAACTGATATCCTGAAAGGGTCCCAAGTTCTGAAATCCTCCTGGTTAATGTTATGGCTCGGAGGAATAAAACTTTCTAGAACAGAAACCTGGAAGTACAGGATATTTCAAAAAGATGGACCCGATTTGAAATCGCTGTATCTTTGCAACAATAAACAATCCATGAATGGAATTCTTGCCACTTGAAAGAGTGGGACATAAACTTTCAAATTATTACCACTAGATGCCTTTCCAAGTGCACAAACAGCTCCTCACCTCAGTCATTAGAAAGATGGCAACCCTGCAACATAAGGTGTTTTGTGCTCTGCAGTTCAGCATGACTGAATCCATAATTGCAGTGCAATGTGCATTTCAACAGCTTGCCTATTGTCAAGTAACTTGCTCATTGTCAATTGATGGAACTTTTGTGTGTGATTGTAATACGTTGCCATCGTGAAATATATTGCTTTGAAATTAATTCCATCATTTTGCTACATTCTGCACTTTCCTTAAGGCTCAAACGGTGTATTAAGGCCTTTGTGAAGATCTCATATAGGTCGTGATGGACTGTGGGGGGCTTTAGGAGTGCCCTAAGGAGTAATGTAATGAGAAGTTGAGAAGAGAACTTTTGTGATTTAACTGGCAGAATGGATGAAGTGCTCAACATTTGTCTTGTAAGAAAAGGGGATCAAGAATAAGGAAGCAAAATCTGGAAACTAGATGTTGAATAAAAACAGAGAAGATTTGAGGTCTGGCTTGCACAAAGAACTGTGTTCTAGTTCTTCAGGCAAGTTGATAATGGGAAAGCTTGATGGAATGCCATCTTCTTCAGACAGTTTTTCGGACCACTTTTTTTTATTCCTACAGCAACTATAACAGACTGGTTCAAGATTGGGAAAGGCGTATGGCAGGGTTGTATACTCTCACCCAACCTTTTCAACTTGTATGCAGAACACATCATGGGGCTTGACGAATGCAAGGCTGGGATGAAAATTGCTGGAAGAAACATTAACAACCTTAGATATGCAGATGACACCACTTTGATGGCCGAAAGCGAGGAGGAGCTGAGGAGCCTTCTAATCAAGGTGAAAGAAGAAAGCACAAAAGCTGGGTTGCAGTTAAACTTCAAAAAATCCAAGATTATGGCAACAAGAATGATTAACAACTGGGAAATAGAGGGAGAAAATGTGGAGGCCATGACAGACATTGTATTTCTAGGTGCAAAGATTACTGCAGATGCAGACTGCAGCCAGGAAATCAGGAGACGCTTATTTCTTGGGAGGAGAGCAATGACCAATCTTGA